ACACACATGAAGCAAGCATGCGTGCAGCGAACCAGTAGTAACATAATGTGAAACCCACTGCTGCACAGCTGCCATGTAGCTCAGTAATTAAAGAATATGGGTTTAGTCTCTTCATCAACATCAAAAAAGAGCCAATAAAGACTGGACAGCGTAAGAGTTCATCGACAATGGAGCTATTGAAAATGGAGTTGGAAATGCCTTGTAAAGTACAAAGGAACCTGAGACAGTTGGCGCTGGAAATAGAGAAGTTCTTTATTCCTTTCTTTTCCTTTTTTGCCCTGGTTGAAATCAAACAGGGAAGGCTCTCTGAAAGCTTTGAATTTTCAATGGGCAATTTCCTCAGTGCTGACAATGGAACAGACTGCAACAGGATATTCATCACGGGAGACAGAAAATGTGGTTCATCTCTCAAAGATGAGATTCATCAGACAGCAACCCAGAAGTCAAGAACTGAATATTGACTTCTTCCATATGATTGCTACGGACCTCCGTATTTCATTGTTTTGGGCAATAACACAGATTGGCAAGGTAAGGAGAAAACGCTGAAGGGTATGAATAATTATGAGCCATGTCAAAACTGTGACTACAAAGATTGTAAGAGTTTTCAAAATGTTAGCAGAAAGGAGAAAATGGATAAAAGATTCATACCGATGCACAGACACATTTTCCCCCCTAAGTTTACTTGTATATTTTCACTGCAGAATAGCAAAAATAAAGAATATGTCTACTGACTTTTTTTTTTTTTTTTTTTTTTGGGCGGCTGGCTAAAGTGCTATGGTTTTTCAGGAGCAAAGAAGGGCATAGTTGCATAATTGCCTATAACTGTGTTCCAAACTCTGTTCTACTCTTTCCACGTCTTTAGCCGACGAATGTTCTAATTGGCAATTTAAAAGTGAGATTTTTTATTCCAGTGCTCACCTTTCGACTATTTTGCACCTTTACATCAGATACGCGGTTGACTAAACTGGAAAATTGTATTTATTCACATATTACACTTATCCGTAGTTACTATGTCTCTAACATAGTAAAATTAAGCCTATTTGAAACTTAAAAGTAGAGAAAATACCTTTTTTGCTAATTGGACAAGACAACTAGATATTTAACCAATCAAAAATAGAATTGTTAACAGCCAGGAATAGTAATTCAGATACATCCCAAAAGTCATATTACAGATAGTCCTCAACTTACAACAGTTTATTGAAGGTTCAAAATTATGATGCAATTGGAAATGTGATTTATGACTTGTCCTTGAATGTACAACTGTTGCATCCCCCCAGCCATGGTCACGTGGTTGGAATTCAGGCCTTTGACAGACAGCTCAGGTTGATGATCAATTGCAGCATCCTGTGAGTCACATGCTTACAATTTGCAACCTTCCCAACCAAGTTTTTGATAAGGCGCGTCAGTTGAGGAAGCCAGATTCACTTAATGACCAGTGTTTTGTTTAAGAGAATCGTGTGATTCCCTTAATATCCACAGTAAAAATAGTCATAAAAATCAGATGATCACATAATGACTCACTTAACGATTGCAACCAAAATTCCAGTCCCCAAACTGGTCATAAAGCTGAGGATCACTACTGTTTCAAAGGTTTGGAAAATAATTTTTGTTCTTATTCGCTTATTTACTATTGAAAAGAAGTGCAACATTTGTCAAACACATAAATCTTTATAGAACGGAATTGTATTGTAATTCTGTCTTAAAAAATTTGAGGGGTTCCTACAAAGATGAGGGGCTTCTACAAAGATGAGGGGGTTAAACTATTTTCCAATGCACTAAAAGGTAAGACAAGAAACAATGGATGGAAACTAATTAAGGAGAGAAGCAACCTAGAACTAAGGAGAAGTTTCCGAACAGTGAGCGCAAACGATCAGTGCAATGGCTTGCCTTCAGAAGTTGTGGGTGCTCCATCACTGGAGGCTTTCAAGAAGGGACTGGACAGATATTTGTCTGAAATGATATAGGGTTTCCTGCTGAAGCAGGGGGTTGGACTAGAAGATCTCCAAGATCCCTTCCAACTCTGTTATTCTATGTTCTGTGTTCTAAAAAGATTATTTTAGCTCAAATGGATTGAGCAATGTACCGTATTTTTCAGAGCATAAGACACATTTTTTTCCCTCCTTAAAGAGCCTGAAAATTTGGGTCTGTCTAATACTCCGAATGTAACCCCGCCCGCTCGCCAGCCCCCACCCTTCGGCCTCCATGCATCCTCTTCCTGGCTGCAGAGATTGCCACCAACAATGGCTTGTGTTTTTGGGCTCCGCGCGTCGCGTTTTCAGCCTCCAAATGCTCCGTTTGAGAGCTCTTCAAGGCTGCAGGGATCACCAAAGCACATCGCTGCTGATCGCCACCCAAAAATGTGAGGCATGGTGCCCAAAATGGCTACCCGGAACAGCTGCTGCCTTCTCTTACCCCTTCCGCGCTTCACCTACTTTAGTCACTGGAGTTCCCTCCGACGATCAGCTGTGCTTTTGAAGCTGATTTTCAGCCCCAACGCGGCGCTTGTGAGCGAAGCGATCTTCCACGCTTTGCCCGTTTTTCTAATTGCTGTTCCCTCCGACGATCAGCTGTGCTTTAGAAGCTGTTTTTTAGCCCCAACCTCAAAACTAGCAAATGAACAAATGTGCTGAAGCTGACCAGGCTAAGGACACTAGCCAGATGAATACCTGATAGGCAGAATCCCCCCCCCATTTTCCTCCCCCAAAATTAAGGTGCATCTTATACTCCGAAAAATATGGTAGTTTTTAAAAAGAAAATGCTTGACTTGATTGTGGAATACTATGTCACCCCGCATTTTAGTGGTTACTGGTTCACTTATTCTGGTGAATATTTCTGTCTAAAGTAAATAGCTATTTATTTTTCCTCTTTCAAAATGATTCGTGCTTTTTAGATACAGGTAGTCCTCGACTTACGACCACAATTGAACCCAAAATTTATGTTGCTAAGTGAAACATTTGTTAAGTGAGTTTTGCCCCATTTTACAACCATTCTTGCCACAATTGTTAAGTGAATCATAGCGGTTCAGTTAGTAACACGGTTGTTAAGTGAATCTGGCTTCCCCATTGACTTTGTTTGTCAGAAGGTCGTAAAAGACGATCACATGACCACGGGACACTAAATAGGAGTCACTTGCCAAGATTCTGAATTTTGATCACATGACCAAGGGGATGCTGCAATGGTCATAAGTGTGAAAACGGTCATAAGTCACATTTTTCAGTGCTGTTCCAACTTTGATTGTAACTTTGAACAGTCACTAATTGAACTGTTATAAATTGAGGAGTACCTATACTAAAAATACTATTATTTCCTTTGCGGGTTTTATTTTGATTTTTAAAAAAAAAAAAACATCATCAAGTTGCATTTTTACATTTTTTAAAATGTAGTTTAACATACGGCAAGTTACTTTTTACTCGACATAGTAAAAAAAAAAAAAAGCAGTAATAAAAATAGTAATAAAATTATTGTAAATAAACAGCCAAAGTTTAAGAAAAAAAGTAAGAGGCTTCTCCAATATTAATTTGCTCATGCATTTCGCTTCCTGAAGCCAAATTTTAATGGTAATTATTTTGTGGATTTTTTTTTCCTGAAAGTGAGAATAAATTTGCAAAGATTCCTCACTGATAACTTTCAGATGGCAAGTTAATGACGTTTATTTCAGAGGGTGTGAATTATAAAATTAAGTTCTCTCCCATTAAGCTTTCATGCTGCTACTATTGTTATCTATGCACATGTCTTCATGTTTTTTTATTAATTTTATATGGCTGCTTAGTGCTTTTGTTTTTCTGGTGGACAGAAGGATATCTGCCAAGGTAACTGGAAAATTTGCTAAGAGCTTTAGTTAAAGAAAAAAAGTCAGATGTATAGGAATTTCTGTAGGCATTCTTTTGAATCTATAGATTTCCCATATCCAGCTAGGGAATGTTAACTTGTAACAAGTTTTTTTTCATTTATGGGAAAAGATTGTTATGGAGAAAATCTAAGTGGATTCTAAGAATCAACACTGGCCTACCTGATAGCACATGACCAATCAAGCTATATTATATAATATATTGAGGCATGTGTATCTAACCTTTCCACCAGTGGTGAAATCCAAATTTTTTTACTACCAATTCTGTGGGCGTGGCTTGGTGGGCATGGTGTGGCTTGGTGGGCGTGGTGTGGCTTGGTGGGCATGGCTTGGTGGGTGTGATAGGGGAAGGATACTGCAAAATCTCCATTCCCACCCTACTCCAGGGGAAGGATACTGCAAAATGCCCATTCCCACCCCACCCTGGGGCCAGCCAGAGGTGATATTTGCTGGTTCTCTGAACTGCTCAAAATTTCCGCTACCGGTTCTCTGAACTGCTCAAAATTTCTGCTACCAGTTCTCCAGAACCTATCAGAACCTGCTGAATTTCACCCCTCCTTTCCATCAATAAAACAGAACGAACTGTACAATCACAAGAATGCGCCACGAACTACCATCCACATATATTAGTTTAAGAAGTAAGATACCTATTGGTACCATTAATATACACAAGGAATCTGAGCAACACTAGTATCTCTTTTCTTGAGTTATAAGCTAGGTTCTGATGATGGGGTAGGGAAGAAAGACACTGATCTAAAATGGTATTATTGACTACTTGTAAAATCATATTTTTAAGACTTCACTAAAGATAGAGCTGAAAATTACAGGTCAAGACCTAAAGCTTATTCTTCTCTACTTTTTGCTTAGAATCTACAGTATTTTCTGATACTTACAACATAGGAGGCTGATATGACCAAGCATTTAGCCACGGTATCATAAGTATAGTTTTGGAAGATATTATCCTATTGAAACACAGACCATTGTAGGCAACTCTGCTGGCTAATTTTGATGTCAACATTAAAATCCCTACAAAGGAGATTTTTCAAGCACCCAAAACATCGGTACTAAGCAGGCTAAAATAAGCACAGGAAGAAGGAATCGTGTTTCAAAACAGCCTGGGATGTTTAATTGCAGGGTCAACGCAGTGGTTCACCTGGTATGTGTCCCAAAGTCTTATGGTACACCGCAGCGGGACTTCTCTCATCAATAAGTTATTCATCCAGCGGAAAGCAAACTGAAGGTATTTCACTTCATATTGTTCTATGTGTTTATGTACTTGCTCTGAAAGACAAAAAGAACAGAAAAAAAAAACCTACTGATGATATTTATATAACCTTCACAAAACCGTGTAATATCATATACCATATTTTTCGGACTCTAACCATGCACCGGTGTATAAGACGCACCAAGATTTCGAAGAGGTAAGCAAGAAAAAAAAGGGTTTTCCCTCCCCAGCCCTCAGGAGTACTCTGTAGGCCTCCCAAAGCCTCTGTGCACCCCGTTTTGGGGCATTTTTTCCCTCCCTAGCCCACAGGAGCACTCTGCAGACCTCCCAAAGCCTCTGTGGACCCCGTTTTTGTGAAAAACAAGCCTTTTGCAAAAACGGGGACATTTTTGCCCTCCCCAGCCCACAGGAGCATTCTATAGGCCTCCCAAAGCCTCTGCACACCCTGTTTTTGCGAAAAACGGGATGCAGAGGGCGAGGCTTCGGGAGGCCAAAAATGGCTGTATTTTGTGTATAAGACGCACCAACATTTCCACCTTCTTTTTGGGGGATAAAAAGTGTGTCTTATACTAGGAAAAGTACGGTATGTTCCCCACATATACCGCAAATGTGGTTCAGAAAATCTTCCATCCCTCTTGTTCTGGAATATAAGCAGGAGCTAGGATCTTAAGACTTTGTTCGAGTAATAAAACAAATGTCGACTAACGCAACATTAAAGAATTACTAAAATCTAAATAATAAATGCATTTACATAATTGCACGTCTTATTTATTAAAATTATATGCTGCCCATCTAACTATTGAACAATGTATCAGGATTATGAAGGAAGGAAATATAAATTTTCAAATAGCCATCCAGTCTATTATTATTCAATTTTACCCCATGATTATTTATAAACGTATAGTCAACTCAAGCAGCTAACATACCGTGTTTCCCTCAAAATAAAATCCTGTCTTATTTTGTTTTGGCCCCAAAATAAGCACCAGGTCTTATTTTCGGGGGATGTCTTACTTGCTTACCTTAGAACCATCGCAGCCAGGCCTCCCATGCCCCGATGCCTGTCGCGCTGCTGCCCGACTTCTTCTGCTGCATGGCTCATTGCGCCAGTGCCGCCACTTGCGGCAGGAGGCTGAGTGGTGCGTTGTGCTATTGCACAAGCAAGAGGCAGTACTAGCATGATGAGCCTCGCAGCATTGTGCTGTGAGTGGCGGCACCAGCGTGATGTGCCACATGGCATCCGGCTGCAGAAGTCGGGCAACGCCCGAAAGGTGTCGAAGTGTGGGAGGCCTGGCTGCAGTGGTCCTAAGGTAAGCGGGTGCAGGACATGTGGGCAGCTCCACTCCCCCACCCTGCCCTAGCTTGATTTTTACACATGCAACTTGCCCTACCTCATGCAACCAGACAATTGCGGGGCTTAACTATGGCTTATTTTGGGGGTAGGGCTTATATTAGGCAGAGGCGTAAAAATCAGGTTAGGGCGTGTTTTCAGGGTAAGTAGTATTTTGGGGGAAACACAGTATTTAATACTCCTGCCTCCTGTTTTCCCCATAACAATCCTGTGAGGTGGGTTGGTATGAGAGATAAAAAGTGGTCCATGATGAAGGGAGACTTAGACCTCACAGTCTCCAGAACATAAATCACCATACCAACTGGCTTTTAGCCTTTATTTGAATATCTCCAGTAACATGCCCACAATTCCAGGAGGCAAGTTGTTTCATTGCTTAATAGCTTTCATGACCAGAAAATTCCTCCTAATTTCAATTATTTCATTTTGCTCCCTCCCTCTGTCTCCTTATAGGCTTCCATCCATTGGTTCTACTTCTATTCGCAGGTACTTTAGAAAATATATTAACACCCATTTTCCTTTAATAGTGGTGGCTAAATAAATTATAGAAGTTTTTTCATGATTTGCTTACATTGCATGCAAGCCAGGATATAAGGTAAGTTTCCTTTCTATAAAGTTCAAATTGCAATACATAGTTTGTTCCTGTCATTTGCTCTATAATTGAATTGTAGCCTTTCCCTCTCTAGTGATAGTAAAAAAATAAAGAAAAGACACCATCATTTCTGATGTTTTCACAATGCACAGGCAGAATAAGAAAAGTATATGCTACCATTGCATTTACAGGTAGTCCTCAGTTTACAACAGCAATTAGAACCAGGACTGCTGCTGCTAAGCATTGCAGTCATAAAGTATAACATCTTATCAATCGCAATCACTGTAACGGAATTTATCAATGACCTTGGGGGAAATAGAATACAAAACACAGAATAAAGGAGTTGGAAGGATCTTGGAAGTCTTCTAGTCCAAGGACTTAGGGCAGAAGTCCTTATACCATTCCAGACAAATAATTGTCCAATCTCTTCTTGAAAATCTCCAGTGATGGAGCACCTACAATTTCTGGAGGCAACCTGTTCCACTGATCGTTCTGTCAGGGAATTTATCCAAAGTTCAAAGTAGTAAGAGGCAATCACATAAGTGTGGGATGCAGCAACTGCAATAAGTGTGAGCTTCTTGTCAAGCATCTAATTTGCAATCAATCTTGTTGTAAGTACTACTGGTTCAGGGCCATCACAATTTTCAACAATCCCTGAATGGATGTTTATAATTCAAGGGCAATCTGTAGATAGCAAATTATAGTTGTTTATCTACCCAGAAGTAATTGATAATCCTATACTTAATTTACAGGTTTCTAAATTTTAAACTTTCAGACTACTACTCAGAGAAAAGTTCATCACTGAGTATATTTGTTACACAGAGCTTATTTGTGCTAAGAGAGAGAACATTTATCTTCACTAAGAAATGCCAACAGTAAAGACCAGATATTACTGATTAGTAAATTTATATTACTTTTAACTAAATGTTATCGTAAGTTAAGCTTTACTCGTGATTAAAACAAATAGGCAGGAACTTCTACTTATTTATATAACAATTATCAGAAAATCTTGTGGATAATGAAACCTGCAAACCAAGGCAAGTTAAATGTTTCAAATTTCTTTTAAAGCAAAACAAAACAAAAAAGAAAAATATTGAATTTCCCATGGGCTTTTCTTTATTATTTTTTAACATATTGAAAAATGGACAACTAAACGCAAAGCTTTTAATTGTCATTTATTTGATAATATATGAACAGACAAAAGAAAACGCACAGGCTGAAAAGATTCATTCCTCTTTTTTCATAAGTAATTGTGAGCAGATGTTATTTCACTGATAAAGGTAATTTGGTTGGCAATAATTCTAAATTTAAATTTTCCATTTCATTGAAAGCAAGCATGCAGATGTAATAAATGACTTGGCAGATGTAATTATTGCCATCTTTCAGACTTAGAATTTTTCCAAAGATACTTATGCAGCAGTTTGCAACAATAAAATTATGCTAAATCTTCAAGAAATAATGGCACTTGTATCAAAATGAAGAAACACAAATGATTTTATTTTAACAGTCTTTTCAGCACTTTTACATCTTATATAAAACTACTGAAAATGTTTCAAGCAGGGCGTCCATTTTTTAAAAGCATGGTTAGAAATACACCATTTATATCATAGATTTACTGTGTTTGGGTTTAAGAGGTAACGTGCTTATGCAAGTGCATGATGTATCTTACAAACAATTCAAAAAACGACTCCATAATTTATCCTTAAATTATGTGAAATAATTGTGAAAAAAACATAATGGTTAGTGAAAATGGTATCTTAACTTACTAAGAACATTGTATTCACTAGATCAAACACTTCTATTATAAAGTACTGCCTGCAGTTAGAACTTAAAACTTTGGTAGTTCAGGCAGTCTGAATTTTGCTTGTTGTGTGTTTTGTTCAAGCCAACCGCCTCTCTTGAAGCCTCCGAAAGTAAAAGTGAAACCCTCATTGTTGCAATCAACTGATGGTCCAATGGTCCAGGAATAGTCAAATTGTAAATAATTAGACCTGTGATGGCAAACCTATGGCACGCGTGCCACAGGTGGCACACGGAGTCATATCGGTGGGCACGTGAGCGTTGCCCAAGTTCAGCTCCGGAGACCATGGGTGCGCCAGCAAGCTGATTTTCAGGCCTTCCAGGCCCACCAGAAGTTGGCAATGGGCTGTTTCCGACCACCGGATGGCCTCTGGGGGGGTGGGGGTGGGGAAGGCCGTTTTCGCCCTCCTCAAGCTCCTAGAAAGGCTCTGGAGCCTGGGGAGAACAAAAAACTGGCCTACCAGGCCCACCATGCCATCATGTGCCAAAAGCAGGGGGAGCATGGGGGGGGTTGCACGCGAATGTGCAGATGGGGCTGCAATGAATTATAGGTGTGGGCACATGCGTGTGCGACTGCCCCCACGCTCCCCCCACTTTTGGCACATGATGGCAAAAAGGTTAGCCATCACTGAATTAGACTAACTGTTGGAAACCCAACTTCAAATGCTTCCAGCAACATTACAAAATTCTTTTGCCCTAGTTGTTCCACCTAATGTGTAGAAACACTTCCTTTACATAAAAAAAACCCAAACAATTCTGAAACAGAAGCATCTATTTTAAGTTTGATTACTTGTATTCCTGAAAGAATTAAGTTTCATCATATCATCTCCATTTAACGATCCCATAATCCCTTGCGGGGTGGAGTCTGAGCAACTGAATGGAGCTAGTAGACTGTTTTAATGGCCAGATGCCCTTCCTGTCGCCAATGTGGAGTTTTCTTCAGCAGATATATTCTCAGTGTGCCCAGAGAGAGAAATATCTGCCTCTACCTATTGTAGGATTGAATTCACAGCCTCCTGATTGTGAGCCGAGAGCTCCACCTCTAGGCCACTGCGCCACTCCTAATTAAGTTTCATCATATATCCCATGTAAAAATTTCTTTCCAGTTTAAACCTAAGCAAGAGAAAACTCCAAATCCGTCTGAACGAGCTCAGGACTGAGTTGAATCTGGGGCGTGTGCAAAGGGGGCATCTCTTTAAGATTGAACTCAGTCCATGGAGCCAGAAGACAGAATGATACCCATGCCTGGAGTCTCAAATTCCTAGCTGGAAAATGACCTTCATATGTTTATAAAGCTATGCATGTAGCTTTATAAGGTT